AGAGTGAAACGATTATTGTAAACAGTGCAGACAAAGAATGACCCCAAACCTCAAAAGAAGATGGAAAGTCACTTACAAAAAAAGTAGATAAAAATAATATACATTTTTCTATTTTAAAAAGTACCAACTCTCAAGTGGCAGAGGGTGGAAAGCCCCAGGACCTGGCACCCCAGTATCCTTGATGGTTGAGGGGACAGGCCTACTCTGGCTCCTAAAACTAAATTTAAGCATCCCGGTTCTTCATCTTTTTTACTACTGCTATACAATTTTCATTCCTAATAACTTCTTCAGCACATCAGCTTCAGTTACCAGCCTTCATCAAAATGTTAAGAGCAGAGACTCTCCCATTGTAAGGCTAAAATCTGAGTAAAGAGTGAAGAGACCAGACATTAGAATCTTAAAAAGCCAAATGATAGTGGAACCAGTGACAAAACACTTCTTTTAAATTAAGCCATTTCTATGTTTTTTTACTATGCTAGAATGTGAACATGCTTTTTCCTATTTTCCTTATTCTTATTTTTAAACTAGTACAAAATCTGCCTCATCACAGGAATCACCTTGAGCACTTATTAAGAGTACAGCATCTAAGAATCTTGGAGATACTGAATGTGTTTGAACTGATGTGCAAGAATATACACTTTCAATAGGTCCCTTTATTATCTTCCCACACAGATTTCCACAGTACTGGATATTCTTGTGGCCAGGCAATTTTGGAAAACACTTCCTTAGCTTTAATTCTGAGAAAACTTGTTAAGTTAATGGTCCATTTTTGTAAGAGTAAAGTGGAGGGTGGAAATTCATCCCCTTCTTTTTTTTTTTTTTAACACAGAAAAGGAGTTCAGTGTTTTCATATGCTTTTTTGAAACTGAGTGAAAAGATTAAAGAGCTAACAAGCTTTGGCCCAACAGAGACCTAAGTTTGAATCTTAGCAGTGTGACCATGGCCTACTTCTCTGTGTCTGATAAGAATATTAAAAGCTTACACATTAGATTGGGGCTTCCCAGGTGGCAAAGATCCTGCCTGCCAATGTAGGAGACCGAAAATACCCAGGTTTGATCCCTGGGTCAGGAAGATCCCCTGGAGAAGGAAATGGCAACCCACTCCAGTATTTTTCCCTGGAGAATCCCACGGACAAGAGGAGGCTGGCGGGCTACAGTCCATAGGGTCACAAAGAATTGGACAGGACTGCATGCACACATTAGAATACTACGAGGATTAGATGAAAGATGTTTAGTGCTAGCCAAATGACTGGCACAGAGAGGGCTCCTAGTTAGTGAAAATGTTTTTCTTTTCTTCTCTTGTCTTATGTCAGTAAATTACTTCTTTCCTTCAAATATAAAAAGGCAGTTACTTGACTTAACCCTTAACTGTCTGTTACATGCAATATAAGACACATTCTCTAGTGTTTTACTGTTCTTTTAAGAAACAAAAACATTCAAGGAAGTGGCTTATCTTAGAAATCAGATTAAAATGATGAAATAAAAGAGAGATAAGAATAATAACCTTTGATTTGAGGGGGACTGCATTTTTTAAAAAGTTATTTATAACTATGAAATGTATGTTTTAGCAAATCTGTCCTAAATTTGTCCTCCTCTATGAAGTCTGAAATAATAGAATGGCATATTAAGAGCTTTATTTTACATAATTTTATTTAATTTTATCAATGAGGAATATATTCAAGTGGTTCAAAATATTTTGAAAGTATCAAATATACAGTTGAAAATGTTACACTGATGTTTGTAACATAAATGTATCTATAATATTACTTTTAATATTTTTGTCTTGATTTTGGTAACAGGGTTACCTTGGCCTTATAGGATGAGTTGGGAAATAATTCTAATTTTTCAGTTGTTTAGAAAATATTGTATAAAATTAGGATCCTCTCTTCCTTGAAAGTTGGTAGCAATTGCTTGTAAAATATAATCTAGCCTTTTTCTGGTGAGAAAATATTGCTTTGATTTCTTTAATAGTTATAGGAACATTTAATTTTTTGAGTAAGTCATGGTGAGATATATTTTTCTAATATGTCCATCTCATGTAAGATTTCAAAGTTATTGGCAGCATTCACTTTTCTTTTTACTCTTTATCTGCAGTTATTGTTCCTGTTTCATTCCCTATATTTTTCATTTGTTTCTTTTCTCTTCTTGTGATTGAATTGCTAGAGGTTTGTCTATTTTATTATTTTTTTAAAAATCAAGGCTTTTTTGTTTATCTTCACTATCATATTTTTGTTTTCTATCTCACTGACTGCTGCTCTTATTTTTATTGTATTTTTTCTTTTATGTTGAGTTTATTACCTCCTTCTTATGTAAATATTTAAAGCTACACATCTCCCTCAAAGCATCACTTTGGCTGCATCCCACAAATTCTTCATACGTAGTGTTTTTTAACACCATACAAGTTCAGATATTTTATATTCACTTTAATTTCTGCTTAAACCTCAAAGTTTTTCAGCAGTGTGTTTTTGTAAAATTGTAAAAGATACAAGGATGCTCACTACATTAAAAACAACAGTTAAAGAAGCTAATGGACATGTCATATTCTTGAATGAGAAAACTTTTATAATATTAATATTAAAAAGACTTAATATCACTAAAAATATTAACTCTCTAAAAATCAGTATAAATATAAATACAATTCCAATTAGAATTCTTGTTGGGATTAGAGTTGAATAAAATTACTTTAAATTCTATGTGGAAGAATATCTACCTGTGAATATGTAATAAAACTATACAGACTGGAAGAGAAAAACTTTACTAGATCTCTATCAGAGTTTTTGGATTAGAGGTGAATAAATGATCTTAAAGTTCAAATTGAAGAAAACTTCCAAATATTTTTAAAAATATATGTTTTTAAAGTATTTAAAAAGTAAGAACAAAGAAGAAAGACTTACCAGTTATGAGAATATGCTATTAAGTCTAATGAATATGATATTAATGGTACATCCAATAAATTAGTGGAACAGAAAAGAGAATATAGTAATAGATGTCAGCATTTTGAAATTTTGCCATATGACAGATAGTAGTTTTATTTAGTAGGTAAAGGATAGATTACTTATTGTAATATACAATGCTGACACAAATGGCTATGCATATGGAAAGAATAAAACTGGACCCCAAATCTCATACCATATAAAAGGTAAACTGCATATGTATTAATGGCTTAAATGAAAGAAAATCCAAGAGACTATATGTATAATCTAGAAATGAAATGGACTTTCTGAACTAACTAGAAACAATAAAAGACAATAATTTTATAATAGCCAAAACAAAAATGTTGATACAGTGCAATTTAGTGTGAAAAATCAATAGACAAATTATACATTAGAAAAAAATGAATATAGAAGATAAATAATTACTTTACTATATAAACTGCCCTTAAAATTGTTGCAAAATTCTAATAATTCAATAGAAAGTTGGGAAAATCTAATTGACAGACTAATTGATAAGAGACAAATTAAAATACCTGATTTTAAAATTTGTATTCAGTTTCATATTGCTTCCACATTCATGTGACAACTTACCTTTCAAAACTAGGTTCTCTCTGTGGAGAACTCCATCATTAAATTCTCCCCAGCAAGGAGGTTGAGAGCCCTCTGTGATCTTCTGCATTCCTTTGTCTATTCAGCCAGGCGCTTACCTCTCTAGACCTGGGTAGTCCTCTCAACTCTGGTTTTATTTGAGCCTCGCTAGTGTGGCCATGGATAGGGCCAAGGAGACACAGTGTAACAAGCATGAGTCTTGGAGTCCAGCTAGGTTTGCTTTGATTTCCTGCCATTTACCAGTTATGTGGGAACAGGTATGTCACCTCTCTGGGCCTTCATTCTCTCCTCTTTAACATGGGATAATTATACCTGCTACTCACAGTCATTGTGAGGACTAACAGAAGTAATTTATATACAGTGCTACCATAGGCTTCCCTGGTGGCTCAGCGGTAAAGAATTCGCCTGTAATGCCGAAGATGCGAGTTCAATCCCTGGGTTGAGAAGACCCCCTGGAGAAGGAAATGACTACCCACTCCACTATTCTTGCCTGGGAAATCCTATGGACAGAGGAGCCTGGCAGGCTACAGTCCATGGGGTCGCAAAATAAGACTTAGTGACTAAACAAAAACAACAACATAGAGCCTGCCAGGCTCCTCTGTCTACCGGATTTCCCAAGCAAGAATACTAGTGGGTAGCCTATCCCTTCCCCAGGAGATCTTCCCGACCCAGGGATCAAACTGGCATCACCTGCACTGCAGGTGGCTTCTTTACCACTGAGCCACCTGGAAAGCCCCTAGTACATATTACCACCTAAAAAAATAGTGTTCTATGTTCTACCCTATTTCAGTGTCTTATGGTAACCTAGGGACTAGGTTACCAGCAAACATGTTTTCTAAATGGCTATCTGACTCCAATTCTTTGATGTTCAGAACACCTCCATACAGTGCTAACAGCTTAATTTTGCTAAAACACTTCTTATGTTATATCATTCTCCTGATTACTAGTTGTCAATGATTTCTCACTGCCTTTAGGAAAAAGTACAAATCCCCACAGTCTTACTGCTGATATACTCAATGTTCTAAGGTAAAATTTTAAAACCTTGTCCAAGGCTCTCAAAACATAATTTTTAATCTTTTCATTAGGAAAAATGAAGGAACACCTAACTGGGACTTACCTTATATAATAGCATATGCTGTATATTCTTTCAGTATTCTAAACCACTATCCACTGGGGATGATGATATACAAAAATAACTCCTACTTTGTTTTCCTGAAATCTCACTGTAATTGAAAAATCTTTATTATATTCACTTAATACTTGCCACTCTAAATGGCAGATTAGGAAAGGGTGATAGCAAACACTTAGAATCAGTTATTGGCGTGGTAATAATTAGGTATATTTATAACACAAACTAGTTAAAAAAAGATTTTTGTTGTGATTATAAGAGAAATAAAAATTTATACATTTCCTTATTACAGCTAGTTGCTAACAACAGCAAAAAATAATTCTCTTTTACCTAGTACTTCCTTTTGCAAGTCATGGCATCTGGTTTGCAAGTTTACTTCCTGTTGTTTGGATGTCTGAATCTGCTGAGATCTCAATATGGCTGCATCTGACAACAACTTCAGATTTTTCATTTCCTCTTCAAGGCATACATTGTTTCTCTGGGACACTGTCAAACTTTTATTTAGCATCTTTATTTCTGTAAAGAAAATTCAAAGTTTACAAATAGACAACATTGGATCATAAAACATTTCTTTCAAAAAATGATTATTTTATTTTAGAAAACTGATAGTTGAAAGCCAAGATGACTTCTCTGAGAGTATAGAGAGTATAACCAAAAAGTTGAGTTTTAATTTAGCAGTTATTCTGAAAAAGAAATGAAAAAGACTGTATTGCAAATGATACATGAAACCTTTCAGTAGATTTTTTTAAGCCTTTAAATTGTGTTAAATGACAATCCTGCCCGCTTTTTAAATACTCACATGAATAAATAGCATAATATCTCTGTAATGTTCTGGGTTTTATTGAAATTAAGTTGTTTTCCTGGCAACATGATTCAGAGAAGTAAATTTAAGTGTGCTAGCATGAGCTGGTTGGGAGGAATTTCTGGGAGGTAACTAGACTATATTCTACACAAATTATGAAGAAAGGTGGTGGGTTGGAGAGAAATAAAAGGAAACAGTGATTTAAACTAATAAATTTGTGGGCAGAAAGTATTAGTTAGTATATCTTAATGATTCTAATAACACTCTGTCCCCTCAAAATGAGACTAGAATTTCATCATAGCAATCATTTCTCATCACTCTATCTACTTAGATTAAGTTTAATAAAAATATGCCTTCACAGCATTATGTAGATTTTAATGTGCTAATTTTATATAATTTTGTGAGAAATGCATAGAACATTTTATCTTTCAGAATGATAATTATCAAGCTCTCCATCAGCCTTTTCAGCACCGCTGCCTTAAACCACCAGTAAAACACACAAACACACATGCAATAATAATAAAAAATATAAAATGTGTACAACCAGAATTAACTGAATTGAAGAAAATGTGATCTAAATAAAAATCTGGACAGTCTGCTTTTCTAGAGAGTTCACGTGGCATTCCCTTCCTTGTTTAGCTCATCCTGGACTAGGTGATTGGTTCAGGGTGTGATAGGGTGTCAAAGAAAGGCGGCTTGGTTTACTGGTCTTGGAGCAGAAACAGTAGTCACATGGGCCAGTGAAGACGAGCAGTAGACTTCTATGGGATACACGTGGCTACAGAGGCAACATGGCCAGTAAAAGGTTACAGGAGAAATGAAGCAGGATGCTGAACGGAGCAGAAAGAGAGCATGCCCTAAGGGATGGGGATGAGTAGCATCAGCAATGTAGTCTAAGCGGAGAAAAGCAAAATGTTTTCCTGTGGGAAGAAAGTACATCTGAAAGAAGAAGTGGCACTTAAGGTAGACCTAGGGCATGAACACAAGGGGTCTGGCACCTTCTTCACCTTTTATTCCTACTCAGAATGGAAAACCTAGAGAAATAATTTGGCAGAGACCAAATAAGTGGGGGTCTATTATATTCCAGGGGTTCCTTTACATGGGAATCTTTTCCCCCTAAGAATAGCTATATGCTTCTGAAAATTTATGAGTATGTTACCATTTGTGTGAGGAAAACTACTAACAGTACATAGACTTTTTAAAAGTATATAGTTGAAGAAAACAAGGAGGCAGGCCTAAAAATATCTTCCTGGGTACTTTTGTAGCCATAAAGGTGGCTTCTTACGGCTGACCAGATTGTACCGTGCCCTAACCGTGTCGGAGATGGAGTCAGAATGACACTGCAGAGGAGCACACGCGTGCTGTGACCTATTTATTGTTCGCCAGAGTGATACTGGCTAGGTCTGCAGGCTGACTCTCTCAGTGTACACTACTGTCTGTCTCCAAAATAACTACTCGTGTCAATGTGACTTTCTATTTGACATTAAAAGAATAAGAATCTGCAATAAAAATTCATTTGTGAAATATATTTTAACACATGGAAAAGTACAGCAAGATTTAAAAACTAACAGGAGTCACAACGTCTTTAACATGGAATTAGGAGAGCAAACACAATGGGGTCAATTAACTCACCCTTGGCAAACTGTACATCCCCTATGCCTATGGCAATCCTGGTGTCAACTCCTCAGTCCTACTTTTGTCATTAATACAACTTCATCATTGTCAGTTTTGTGTCTCCATTTGGGATTCAGAAATTGTGACTTACTTATTCTGGTCATTGTACCCACTTCATGCTTTCCCTATCTTTGCACTACCCCATGAAGAAGCTCCTCCTAGCTCCATACGTTAGATCTACCACCGCTGTTATTCTACCTCTGCCTGGAAATGATTCCTGACCAGATCTGCTACTCACACCAATTACACCATTTCTATGGCACTGACCATATGTAAACATGTGGCCTCCTATTAGACTGCAAGTTATCTTAGGCCAGAGGTAACAGACTCAATGGACATGAATCTGAGCAAACTCCTGGAGTTAGCAGGACAGAGGAGCCTGGTGTGTTACAATCCATGAGGTCACAAAGAGTCGGACAAGTCTTGGCAACTGAACAACAATATCTTATTCATTTTTTATTCCTCCTATAATTTCTACTACAATATCCTAGAATTAACAGAAGCTCAATAAATATCTACTAAATGAGTAAAGGCATTACTGAGCAAAGCTTCTAATAGTTTTTAATATACCACTAGTTGAAGATCCTAAATATGTGTTTACCTCTCCCTTCACTTCAGAGGCAAGCATTTTGAGCCCTACATTATTTAATGTCAGACTTGGTAAGGCAGTAAATACACACATCTAAAAGAAGGAAACATTTTAAATAGGATAAGCAAATAGGCCTATTCTATCCCTAATTTCATCAATTTTATGAAAAGTGTGGATCACAAAAGTTACTATTGAAAAAAAGAAGTGTATTATTTAAGATGTTTGTGGGGCTCCCCTCGTGGCTCGGTTGTAAAGAATCTGCCTGTCAATGGAGGAGACCGCGTTTGATCCCTGGTCCAGGAAGATTCCACACACCATGGGACAATTAGGCCCGTGCACCACAGCTGCTCAGCCAGCAGTCTAGAGCCTGTGAGCCTCAACAACTGAAGCCCATGCACCCACAGCTTGTGCTATGCAGTAAGAAAAGCCACTGCAATTAGAAGCTCAAACACCCAGCTCACCAACAACTGGAGAAAGCCTGCGTGTAGCAACCCAGCACAGCCAAAAATAAATAATTAAGAAAAAATAAAATAAAATGTAATATTCTCCAATTTTATAGCCAATGGATATTTTTAGCTTTAAAGTTACTTTAAAGCTTTAAAGTAGGTGTGATATAATTTGCTACCTGATGCAAGTATAATTATTAGTATCAAAATTAATCTCATACAATCAACTTATTTACCTTGATAAGACTTTTTTGTTGTTCTTAGTCCTGTTAGCTTAGTCAAATTAACATAAAAATATGTTAAGTCAATAAGTTTTGAGGAAGCCTCTATATATAACCTTATCACCAAGGCATACTGATATGAAATAATATTTCAAAACTCTGAAATGCTAGATTTACTATTTAATGAAGGGATCATAAAATACTATATAGGCTAAAAAAAAAAAACAACTCTATTTTGAAATAGAGATTCACAGGAAGCTATAAAGAACTGTGTGGGAAGGTCCTGTGTCACTTTTATTCCTCCTCTTCCCACGTTCACGTTTTGTATAACTGCAGTACTCCATCAAAACTAAGAAACTGATCTTGGTATAATCCACAGAATTAATTCAGATTTAACCAGCTATACACACCTTTATTTGTGGGTGCATGTGCACACGCATGCACGTGTGCATAGCTCTGTGCAATTTTATCACATATGTAGCTTTATATAACTATTAATACCAATACAATCAAAATACAGGATTATTCTATCACCATAAAGTTACTACCCTGCTATCACTTCATAGCCACACCTACTCCTATCCCCACCAGCTGTAATTGCTGGCAACAACTAGTTTGTTCTCTTTCTCTAGAATTTTATTTCAAGAATGCTATATAAATAGACTTATAATATGTAACCTTTTTGAAGCTAGATTTTTTTCACTCAGCCTATTCCCTTGAGCATGTATTAATAATCTATTTATTTTTTATTATTGAGTAGTATTCCATGTTATGGATAAAGGACAGTTTGTTCATTCATTGAAGGACATTTGGGCTGTTTCCAGTTTGGGCTATAATAAATAAAGCTGCTATGAAAATGTATGTACAGGTATTTTCATGAATTTAGATTTTTATTTCTTTCAGATAAAATGCCTACAAGCGCAACTGCTGAGTCATGTGTTAAGTGCGTTTTTAGCTTTAGAGGAAACTGTAAAGTTATTTTCTAGAACAGCTATTCCATGTCACATTCTCACCAACAATATTGAGTGATTTGGTTTCTTTTATCCTTGCCAACACTTCTATACTCAATTAAAATTTTAGACATTGTAAGAGATATTTCATAGTATCTCATCATGGTTTTAATTTGCATTTCCTTAATGGCTAATGATGCTAAACAATTTTTCTGTGCTTATTTGCCACCTGTATATCTTCTTCAATGAAATTTCTCCTCATGTATTTTGCCCATTTTCTAACTGAACTATTTTCCTGATGTAGAGCTTTGAAAGTTTAAAAAAATATAAATTCCAGATATAAGCCCTTTGCCAGATATGTATTTTCTCCAATCTGTAACTTGCTTTTCCATCCTTTTAACAGGGTCTTTCACAGAGGAAAAGTTCTTAATTTTGCTGGGGTCCACTTTATCAGTTTTTCCTTTTATGTATATGCTTTTAAGTCTAAGATTGTGAGGTTACAAAGATTCTCTTTTTTCCCTAAAAGTTTAATAACTTTATCTTTTACAGTTAAAGTTATGATTCATTTTGAGTTAATTTTTGTATAAGGTATGAGGTTCGGATCAATGTCTTTGGTATCTAGCGCCATCCAGCCTTTGTTGAAAAGGCTAGGCTATCCTTCCTCTGCTGTGCACCCTTGTCAAAAACCTTGTCGCTCTTATTAACAACCAGTTGGGCTGTACAAAACAAGTAAATTACAAGGATATGCTGAAAAACACAGGGAATATAATGAATTTTTTATAATAACTATAAATGGAATATAACCTTTAAATATTGTGAATCACCATGTTATATACCTGAAACTATATATTATATTGTACATCAACTATATCTCAAAAAAAATACCTTGTTGAGCATATTTGTATGGATCTAAATAAACACATATATAATTAGTTTTAAAATTTAGTTATGAAATAACTGACATACATCACTGGATAAGTCTCAGGTGTATACTGTGATGGTCTAATCTACACTTATTGTGAAATTATTACCAAAATAGATTTGATAACATCCATAATTTCATATAGATACAATTTTTATAAAAACAACAACAATTTTTTCCTTGTGATAAGAAATCTCAGGATTTACTCTCTTAACAACTTTCCTACATATCATAGAGCAGTGTTAAATTTTAACACTCTTTTCTCTCCCCTCGCTTCCACCTCTGATAACCACAAATCTAATCTCTTTTCTATGAGTCTGGTTAGTAGCGTTTCTTGTTTATTTTTTGTTTTTTGAGATTCTACATGTAAGAAGATCATACAGTTTTTATCTTTCTCTGACTTATTTCACTTACCATAACCTCTTTAAGGTCAATTCATGTTGTTCCAAATGGCAGGATTTCAGTTTTTATGGCTAAATAATATCCAATTATATATATATAATTTATAATATCATAATATATAATATTATATGATATATAATATTGTGTTATATATATCTCACAATTTCTTTATCCATTCACCTATTAACAGAAACGTAGGTTGTTTGTATGTATTGGACATGTTTGCATGTATTGTAAATAATGCCACTATGAACAAGGGAGTACAGATGTATTTTGGAGCTAGTGTTTTCATTTTCTTTGGAGATAGGTATATATATATATATATATATATACATATTATATAATATGTATATATATATATACATGGGCTTCCCTGGTGGCTTAGAAGTAAAGCATCCACTTGCAATGCAGGAGACCTGGGTTGGGAAGATCCCCTGGAGGAGGGCATGACAACCCATTCCAGTATTCTTGCCTGGAGAATCCCCATGGACAGGAGTCTGGTGGGCTACAGTCCATGAGGTCACAAAGAATTGGACATGACTGCATGACTAAAACAGTACACCACATATATGTACATATATTTAAACTATAGGTGAAGAGCATTAATTTTGTTTCATTATTTAGGAGAAAATCTACAAGACAACCAAATGAACATTTCTGTAGGATAAGTGAAAATCTAATACAACAGAAGGAATGTAGACTTTAGAATAAAAAGAATAAAATAATAGAAGCTGACATATCTTGATTTTTACTGTCATAGGCATATTGTGGTGTATGTGTGCATGCGTATTTTACAGATGATGACACTGAGGTCCAGAGATTTTGTAAGTGGTAGGGTCAGTATGTGAACTTTGAATCTCTGACTCAAGAGCCCTGCTGGTAGGATTTCTGCGTGCGTGCTAAGTTGCTTCAGTCGTGTCCAACTCTTTGCAACCCCATGGACTGTAGCCCACTAGGCTCCTCTGTCCATGAGATTCTCCATTTACCTTTAAATATTTGGGTTTCCCTGACAGCTCAGTTGATAAAGAATCTGCCTGCAATGCAGGAGACCCTGGTTCCATTCCTGGGTCAGGAAGATCCCCTGGAGAAGGGAAAGGCTACTCACTTCAGTATTCTGGCCTGGAGAATCCATGGACTGTATATTCCATGGGGTGGCAAAGAGTGGGACACAGCTGAGTGACTTTCACTTTTCTTTTTTCATACATATTAAAGTATAAACAATTATATTTTTAAAAAAGTAAAATGTTAAAAATTGTTAGCTGAAAACATGGTTGTTATAATAGTTACCTGTATTTGTCTAAATTTAATCCTCAAAATTAAGTAAAAAATTTAGGAGTACTATATTGTCATACACAACTCACCTCTAAAGGCACATATCATATAATAAAATTTAGCTGAAGTTGTTATACAGTTAGGATGCTTTCTTTTCTCTAATATTAACTAAAAAAAAAATTAAAATACACAGAAAAGTTGGAAGAATTGAACCAAATATACACAATATCTAGATTCTTCAATTAACATTTTACTATATTTGCTTTATCACATAACTACTCATCTATTCACCTTACATTTTTATGCATTTCAAGATAAGTCAATATGTTTGATTCCCTAAACACATCATTATTAATTAGCATTCAATATAGATTTGTAATTTTTGAATCAAATTTTACCTACAAAGAAATGCACAAACCTCAAATGCATCATTAGATTAGTTTTGAAGAATGCATCCATCATGTAACTCAAACCTCTGTCAAAACAGAAAGCGTTACTGTCACCACAAAAAGTGCCTTCACACCCCTTCTGAGTCAATCTTCCCCTCTGAGATAACTAGTGTTACTTCTGTCTTTTTTCCCCACTGTAGATTAGTTTTGCCTATTCTAGAACATCATATAAATGGAATCTTACAATATGCAATTATTTGTATAAGGTTACTTTCAGGCAGCGTCATATTTCTGATGCTTATCCAGTTTACTGCATTACTATAGTCCATTCTATGTTCCATTGTTTGTTCAGTTGTTTATTTTTACATAATCCATTCTAGTGATGTACTTTCAGGCTTTTACCAATTTAAGGCTATTTTGAATAAAGCTTGAATAAAATTGCTGAATATTTTTATGAACATATGCTTTCATTTGCAGGACACAATAAATTCCAAAGAGAAGAATTTCAGAGCCATCAGGCAGACGTATCTTTAGTTTTATTGAAAAATTATCAGACCTTTTTTCAAAGTGACTATAGCATTTTATACTTTGACCAATTTGTGTGAAAGTTTCCGTTGCCCTAGTCACCAAAATTTGCTGCTGTCAAGTCTTTTTCACTTAAACCTGGTGGGTTTGTACGGGTATCTCACTGGTTTCAATGTGCGTTTCCCTTATGACTCATAATGCTAAGTGCCATTTCATGTCCTTATTGGACATTGGTATATCTTTTCTTGTAAAGGGTTCTATTCAAATCTTTTAGGCATATTTGATTGGATTGTATGTCCTTTTTCTATTGACTTGTAAGTGTTCTTTATGTAATCTGGATAGCAGTCCTTTGTCACAGATTTTTTGAATATTTTCTGTCTGAGACTTACCTATTCATTTTCCTATTGATGAGTGGAAGTTTTTAATTTTAATGAAGTCTAATTAATAAATTTTTTTGGTAGTTCTTACTTCTATCCTCTCTGAGAAACCTTAATTTACTATCAATTCATGAAGATATTTTGGTGTTCCATGTTTTAGCTTTTATTTTTAGCTCTGATATATGCTGAATTAATTTTTATGTACAATGTGATGTAGGAGTCAAAGCATATTTTCCCACATCAGTATTTAGTTATTCCAGCACAATTTGTTGAAAGACTTTCTCTTCCCATTGAATTGTTTGGGTGCCTTGTCAAAAGTGAAGTGGTCACATCAACAGGTGATTTTTATTTGTTTTTGGTATTGCTTTGTTTTAGTGGGCTTCCCCAGTGGCTCAGCAGGTAAAGAATCTGCCTGCGATGCAGAAGACGTGGGTTCGATCCTTGGGTCAGGAAGAGTCCCTGGAGGAAGGCATGACAACCCACTCTAGAAGTCTTGCCTTGACAAGTAGTTAACTTGGCTGCATTCAAATACTTAAGACTGTTTTCCCTTAGGGTAGGTCACAGTAATGTCAGTTTAACCTTAGATGAGCTGTTTAAAGTCTTCTTTGTGCACATGTATTTCAGGGATAAGCCAGAGATCTGGGAAGAATTTATAAGCAATAATTGAGCTCTCTCTTTCTATCTCTTTTTGAGGGTATCCTCTCACTTCTCAAAGCTAGGGCTGCCTTGATAGCTGTCCACAAGTCCTCAAACCAAAAAGACAATAGATTTTATCAAAGTTTTAGCTTCCCTGCATGGATTAGATTGTACACTGCCCTCAATATAACAGTCATTTAATAAACACCAAAACAAACAACAACAACAAACAAGGAATTCAACCAGTGCTATTCCCTTCTTTTAATTAAAAAAATAATATATTTTTTAGATCAGTTTTAAGTTCATAGCAAAATTAAGCAGAAAGTACAGAGAATTCCCATATACTCTCTGCCCCTGACATATGCATGGCTTCTCCACCATCAACATCCTGCCCCAGAGTGGTACATTTTTTTTACAATTAATGAACCTGCACTGGCACATCATTATCATAAATCTATAATTTACATTAAGGGTACACTCTCAGTGATGTAGTTCTATGGGTTTTGACAAAATTTATAAAGACACATATCCACCATTATAGTAGCATACAAAATAGTTTCACTGCCCTAAAACCCTCCGTGCTCTACCTATTCATCCTTCCCTCTTAGCCTGGCAACCACTGATCTCTTTATTATCTCCACAGTCTTGCCTTTTCCAGAATGTCATACAGTTGGAATCACCCAGTGTATGGTTTTTTTAGATTGGCTTTTTTCAAACAGTAACAGACCTTCTTTCAATTTTTTTAATGTTTTCTCCATGTGTTTAGGCTTGGTCACTCTCCAGTGTTCTCAAGTAGCTATTTTGTCCAGAATTTATAGTTGTTATCTGTGGGAAATCTGATCTAATTAGACCTAATCTGATCAGTCATTAACAGAAGAAAAAATTTTAAAATACAAATTTGTACATTTAACAGGAATAACCAGACTTCCAGCCACTGTTCAAGACTGACATATCAGAGTTTATCTTAGATCAGGCCTATAATTATTGAATTTCAAGGTTGGAATAGATTTTACTGGTCATCGAAAGAAATAATAGGCTTAAAATTAATCATAATTCCCATCATATAAAATGAAATATCATTAATCCATTACTTAGATGTACAATTTACCAAAAAAGGACAGTTATATTTTAAATATACTTAACAAACCTGTCAAGGCTGTTTCACTTATTGATTTAATTTGTAGAAAAGTTTCTCTCTTCAGTGAAGCCCAGTTTTTAAGATGATCATACACTTCGTTTTTAATGCTGTTTAGCTCTCTTTTAGTAAAAGTAAGTAATGAAAGAGTCTTAGTCCAGGAATATTTGCATTCCGTCAATCTCTGACTGGAAAGTAGTAAAGAAGAATTAGGATTTAAAAAAGTAGCAGGCATAATAACAAATATTAAAAAAATTTTCTTTGAAAAATGGTTTTTTAGTGACCATATAATCTACCACTCAAATGGAGACAATTTTGAAAGTGAAAGGAGGTGCTATCTATATTATGCTGAGACAACATATAAACGGGATGTTCCAGAAAGACTGAGGTAATATGGTCACCCCAATTATTTCCATTGTGTTACTATTTTTAACTATAAATAAAGATAGCTAACTATCCCTATATACATTTTTTCCTATATTCTTTAAAAATTAACAGCAAACATTGGAAGAAAATTAAGTCAAAAGTGACTTAGTCACTGAGCCTAAAAGAGAATCTCAAATTTGTAGACAGCATTCTTCCTGTGCTATGGCCCTATAGGCAGTATAAAACATGGGGTAATAATAAATGAAATTTTTTAAGTGACTGATCCAGTGCTCTGCTTCATCAAATGCCACAACTCAAAGTAACCACATGTGTTTTCTCTTGTGCAAAGAGCTAGAAATTCAGTTCAGTTCAGTCGCTCAGTCGTGTCTGACTCTTTGCGACCCCATGAACCACAGCATGCCAGGGCTCCCTGTCTATCACCAACACCCAGAGTCCACCCAAACCCATGTCCATTGAGTCAGTGATGCCATCCAACCATCTCATCCTCTGCTGTCCCCTTCTCCTCCTGCCCTCAATCCCTCCCAGCATCAGGGTCTTTTCCAATGAGTCAGCTCTTAGCATCAGGTGGCCAAAATATTGGAGTTTCAGCTTCAACATCGGTCCTTCCAATGAACACCCAGGACTGAACTCCTTTAGGACGGACTGATTGGATTTCCTGGCAGTCCAAGGGACTCTCAAGAGTCTTCTCCAACACCACAGTTCAAAGCATCAATTCTTCAGTGCTCAGTTTTCTTTATAGTCCAACTCTCACATCCATATATGACCACTGGAAAAACCATAGCCTTGACTAGATGAACCTTTGTTGGCAAAGTAATGTCTCTGCTTTTTAATATGCTGCCTAGGTTGGTTGTAACTTTCCTTCCAAGGAGTAAGCGTCTTTTAATTTCATGGCTGCAATCACCATCTGCAGTGATTTTGGAGCCCAGAAAAATAAAGTCAGCCACGGTTTCCACTGTTTCCCTATCTATTTGCCATGAAGTGATGGAAAGGACAGATGTAAAACAAAGGCTAAAAGATTAACCTTTGTTAGGAAGAAGGGTAGTGTCATTTTGTGTGGTCAATTACTAAGGTCCATGTGAGTGACCAAATGCCACTGGGGATCCTCAATCAGCATGCAGACCTCAGAGCTAAGAGGGACGCTGATTTAAAAAAAAAAAAAATCAAAGAAAGGGGTGGTGTAAGGGAGGGATGGATTGGGAGGTTGGGTTAGCAGATCCAAGCTGTTACGTATAGAAAAGATAAACAATAAAGTCCTACTATATAGCACAGGGAACTATATTCAATATCCTGAGATAAACCACAATGGAAAAGAATACAAAAAAAGAATATATATACATATATAATTGAGTCACTTTCCTGTGTAGCAGGAATTAACACAACACTGTAAATCACTCAAACCTCAGTTAAAAAAAAAAAAATCAGAGTCCACATAGATCATTAAATCAAGGGACCCAATAGTGAGAATGGGGTTTTGAACACAAAGCCAGTAAGTAGCAAGAAAAAGAGACAAGAACTATGAACTAAGTAAAGATAAAGGGACTAATGGGCCCAATGCAAGGTGCTGGGAGCAAGCAATATACCTGGGGGTCAAGGCTAGAGGGATATTTAATAAAAGAAAGACTGGATGTGGATGCATGTGCTTCTGCAGGGAAAAAGGCAGGAAACAGAAAATTCAAGCTTCTTAAATAAGAGCATTTCCATCACATTTTGTAGAATCCAGATCTTATATGATTAGTGTGGACAGAAGGATGGCTTTCTTCTAAAAGATGACTACAAAGATTAGGTTTAAAAGAGTGCATGTATTTGTAGGTTGAGAAAATTCGTTACAAAAATAACTGTAAAAGTTAATAAATCCCATCAAAATCACAAAATACTGAAAAACGATATAACTTTTAAGTAACAGCTCTACAATACTTTTTGCCTACAATTTTTGGCTACATGCTTCACAAGCACCTTTTCATATGAGAACTACTGTATAATAATACTTCATGCAGGGAGAATATAAAAATTATACAGCTTTTCATCTAGCATGGCCATTAGTTTTATTATCAGTGGTAATTTAGAAAGATTCTTTTAGCTTTATAGCCCATTATTTGTAATATTATTTAAATATTAAGCATTGTCAAATTTGGAAAAATCCTTAATAAAATCTTTCATATATGATAAATTTTTGGAATTTCAAGTTTTATCAGAAAATGACATCTTAAATTATCTTTGAAATGATGAAACTCATGAACCAGTTTATCTCAGATGTCCTGAAATAGTATACCATGATTCTATGCTATATTCAGTAATGTTAACAGCTTTTGTCAAATCAGCAAGAAACAAATCTTTCCCCCCAATGTATTCACATTTTGAACTCCTCTTCATTGAATGGATTACAAAATAATCCAAGAAATTTTATTGAAAATGTACCTCTTGTTATGTAATCTAAAAAGAAGTTAAAATTGTTTCTTCATGACAGAATAATTTCTATTGTTTAAATTGTTCATCTGCATTGCTTTTATTTAATTAATTTAAAAAACTCATATACATCTTAATTTTTAATCTTCAATGTCTTGCTTGTGTAATTAAAGCAGTCTAAAATGTCTTTCTAAATGGCAATTACAATGTATATTCCCAACTTGACTTTCCCTTTCAGATCCCCCAAATGCCAGTGACCATCCTAAAGTAAGATAAGGGAAATCATAACGCAGAGACAGAGTTTTTATAATTTAAATTAATCCTACAATTTAAAACCATCCTACTTTTGCCAGGGGCACTACCAGAAGCTTGGAAGAGGGGGCTCTGAAACTTAAGTATTATTTGAGTCACAGGAAATATGCCTATATTGATAACTTCTAATTCTCTTCATGAAATATATAAGTCAAGACACATAGATGTTGAGAGACAAGTAGCACAAAGAATTTTAAGCAGAATATTGAGGATTTAGAATAGTATTGGGGAAATTGAGGACCTGGTGTTTAACAACATATATGTAGGTATAAAGATGAGGATTTTAAGGGTAAATAAGCAGTGGTAAAAGTAGCTGGAATATTGGTAAAGTCCTTTATAAAGAACAGTTGAACATGAAAACAAGATGAATTTAGATCCTTACTTTACATCATTCACAAAAGTTAAAATGGATCACTGACTTAAATTTAAGAGCTAAAACTCTAAAACCTTTAGAACAAACTACTGGAAAAAATCTTTGTGACCTTTGGTTAAGCAGAGTTCTTAGATACATTACCAAAAGCACAAACCATAAAAGAGAACATTGATTAAATTGTATTCCACTGAAAATAACAACTTTCATTCTTCAAAAAGACACAATTATGAAAATGAAAAGATATGCCACAGGCTGGGAGAAAATATTTGCAAATCATATTTCAAATAAAAGACTTGTACCTAGAACATACAAAGAACTCTTACAATCTGATAACAAGAAAACAAACCAATGAAAAAATAGACAAAATATTTTAATAGATATTTCATCAAATAACCATACAAAACATGAAAAGATGTCCAACACCATTACTCATTTGGAAACACATATCAAAGCACAATGAAGTACCATTTCACAGCTTCCAGATGGCTATTATAAAAAAAGACAAGAAGAAAAGTTGGCAAGAAAAGTGAAAGTAGAATCTTCACTCCTGGTGGGAAAATAGGTACAGCCACTAGGCAAAATATTTTGGTAGTTTCTTAAAAGTTAAATAACAATTTACCATCAGTTCAGTTCAGTTCAGTCGCCCAGTTGTGTCTGACTCTTTGCAACCCCATGAACCACAGTACACCAGGCCTCCCTGTCCACCACCAACACCCAGAGTCCACCCAAACCCATGTCCATTGAGTCAGTGATGCCATCCAACCATCTCATCCTCTGCTGTCCCCTTCTCCTCCTGCCCTCAATCTTTCCCAACATCAGGGTCTTTTCCAATGAGTCAGCCCTTCGCATCAGGTGGCCAAAGTATTGGAGTTTCAGCTTCAACATCAGTCCTTCCAATGAACACCCAGGACTGATCTCCTTTAGGATGGACTGGTTGGATCTCCTTTCAGTCCAAGGGACTCTCAAGAGTCTTCTCCAACACCACAGTTCAAAGCATCAATTCTTCAGTGCTCAGTTTTCTTTATAGTCCAACTCTCACATCCATATATGACCACTGGAAAAACCATAGCCTTGACTAGATGAACCTTTGTTGACAAAGTAATGTCTCTGCTTTTTAATATGCTGTCTAGGTTGGTCATAACATTCCTCCCAAGGAGTAAGCGTCTCTTAATTTCATGGCTGCAGTCACCATCTGCAGTGATTTTGGAGCCCAGAAAAATAAAGTCAGCCACGGTTTCCACTGTTTCCCCATCTATTTGCCATGAAGTGATGGGACCAGATGCCATGATCTTAGTTTTCTGAATGTTCAGCTTTAAGCCAACTTTTTCACTCTCTTCTTTCACTTTCATCAAGAGGCTCTTTGGTTCTTCTTCACTTTCTGCCAGAAGGGTGGTGTCATCTGCATATCTGAGGTTATTGATATTTCTCCCAGGAATCTTTATTCCAGCTTGTGCTTCATCCAGCCCAGCGTTTCTCATGATGTACTCTGCATATAAATTAAATAAGCAGGTTGACAATATACAGCCTTGACATACTCCTTTTCCTATTTGGAACCAGTCTATTGTTCCATGTCCAGTTCTAACTGTTGCTTCCTGACCTGCATACAGGTTTCTCGACAGCCAGGTCGGGTGGTCTGGTATTCCCATTTCTTTCAGAATTTTCCACAGTTTATTGTGATCCACACACTCAAAGGCTTTGGCATAGTCAAAAAAGCAGAAATATATGTTTTCCTGGAACTCTCTTGCTTTTTTGATGATACAGCAAATGTTGGCAATTTGATCTCTGGTTCCTCTGCCTTTTCTAAAACCAGCTTGAATACCTGGAAGTTCACAGTTCAGGTATTGCTGAAGCCTGGCTTGGAGAATTTTGAGCATTATTTTACTAGCATGTGAGATGAGTGCAATTGTGTGGTAGGTAGTTCGAGCATTCTTCGGCATTGCCTTTCTTTGGGGTTGAATGAAAACTGACCTTTTCCAGTCCTGTGGTCACTGTTGAGTTTTCCAAATTTGCTGACATATTGAGCGCAGCACTTTCACAGCATCATCTTTCAGCACTTGAAATAGCTCAACTGGAATTCCATCACCTCCACTAGCTTTGTTTGTAGTGATACTTCCTAAGGCCCACTTGACTTCACATTCCAGGATGTCTGACTCTAGGTGAGTGATCACACCATTGTGATTATCTGGGTCATGAAGATCTTTTTTGTATAGTTCTTCTGTGTATTCTTGCCACCTCTTAATATCTTCTGCTTCTGTTAGGTCCCTACCATTTCTGTCCTTTATTGAGCCCATCTTTGCATGAAATGTTCCCTTGGTATCTCTAATTTTCTTGAAGAGATCTCTAGTCTTTCACATTCTGTTGTTTTCCTCTATTTCTTTGCATTGATTGCTGAGGAAGGCTTTCATATCTCTCCTTGCTATTTTTTGGAACTCTGCATTCAAATGGGCATATATTTCCTTTTCTCCTTTGCTTTTCACTTTTCTTCTTTTCACAGCTATTTGTAAGGCCTCCTCAGACAGCCGTTTTGCTTTTTGCATTTCTTTTTCTTGGTGATGGTCTTGATCCCTGTCTCCTCTACAGTGTCACGAATCTCCGTTCATAGTTCATCAGGGACTCTGTCTATCAGATCTAGGCCCTTGAATCTATTTCTCACTTCCACTGTATAATCATAAGGGATTTGATTTAGGTTATATCTGAATGGTCTAGTGGTTTCCCTATTTTACTCAATTTAAGTCTGAATTTGGCAATAAGGAGTTCATGATCTGAGCCACAGTCAGCTCCCGGTCTTGTTTTTGCTGACTGTATAGAGCTTCTCCATCTTTGGCTGCAAGAATATAATCAATCTGATTTCGGTCTTGACCATCTGGTGATGTCCATGTGTAGAGTCTTCTCTTGTGTTGTTGGAAGAGGCTGTTTGCTATGACCAGTGCATTCTCTACAACTCAATAATTCTGAATTATTGAAAGTTAGGTATTTATGCAAAAGAAATGAAACATACATCCACACAAAGTACGTGAATGTTTATAGTAGCAGTATTCTGCCAACAAGCAGAAACAATACAAATGTCTCTCAACTATAAATGCTAACAAATGTCTCTCAACTTATAAAAAAAAATGTGGCAAATTCATACAATGGAATACTATTTAGCAATGAAAAGGAAAAATACAGCATAGATGAACATCAAAGATATCAGTGAAAGATATCAGATATAAAAGAACACATATTGTAGGATTCCATGTAACTGAATTGTTCAGAAAAATACAAATCTATAAAAACAGGAAGAAGATAAGTAATTGCCTAGGATTGGTGGTAAACACAGAGACTGACTGCAAATGGCATATGGGTCTCCTCAGGATGACTCAAATACTCTAATATTGGAAGTGGTAATGGTTGCACAACTCAGTAGGTTTACTAAAAATCATTACATTATTCACTTAAAAGTTGGTGGATTTTGTAGTATGTAATTTATATCTTAAAAAGCTATTTAAAGATATAAGGTTATTAACTACAGGATCAAGGGTAGAAAACAAAGAGAAGTCAGAAATGGTTGGGAGAATCAGAAAATAGTAAACACTAGAAGTGTTCATGTGGCTGAAGAGCTGTTATGAAAGAGAGATTTGGGGAGTTGGCTTGAAAATTTCAGAAATAACAGACTCTGGATTTATTTACAAATAAGAAAAATTAAAGGATAAGTGTATTTCTAACAATTTACAGAAGATTCACAATAAGAATCCTTTAAAAGTAAGCATTAGTCTAAAATATTTCAAATATAGATTGATTTGGAATATTGGAGTTATACACATGCATGCATGCTTCAGTCGTGTCCAACTCCCTGCAACCCTGTGGACCACAGTCTGCTAGGCTCCTCTATCCATGGGGTTCTCCAAGCAAGAATACTGAAGTGGGTTGCCATTCCCTCTTTACATAAAGTGAAATATACCTATATTTCATACTGGTTTTTAGTATCTATCTTACAGGTTTTCAAAAGTTAATTTCGATTCTCAAAAGACACTTTCCTCTGAACAGCAGATGTGCTGAGCCAACTGAGGCGAACCACAGCTACTCCTGCTCATCACCCCTTTGCAAGAGACAGGGTGGAAATGATGCCAGGGGAAATGCAAAGCATGAAGGACACGTCGTTGCAGGCTAGGTGATTAAACCCGATCGCGATTAAACAAATGAGAGGGTAATTTAAAAAGAGCAAAGTGACTCAAAGACATAGTTCACTAATCTCTTGAAAGTTCCTTTTGGGTTCCACAGCTAAAGACGATTACATCTGAGTAGCTAAAGCTCAAGCTTCTTTTTCTTACCACTTTAAGAGAGACGATTATAAGCTCCTTTTCTTTATCCACAGCAAACTCAAAGTTTTATGTTCTAGTAGATACTTTTTAAATAATTAGTAAACTAGTTTAAAATGAGCCTTTAGTAAGGCAGAAAAATCACTGAACTCTACAACTTTGGGTTTGACTTTATTTCCACCTAACTGCTTTTTCCCATGCAATGTACCTACTACTGAGAGCATTAATAAAACCAGTAATTACCTTTATTCATCAGTCACAAACTTATTTACATTGTGTCTAGTTATATGGTTACTTTCAAAATTTTTAGTATGCTGCTTTTTAAATAAATTAGATCCCATACTCCCAGTTTGTGATCTTTCAGCTAGAAATATAAGGAAATGGCAACCCACTCCAGTATTCTTGCCTGGAGAATTCCATGGACGAGCCTGGTGTGCTACAGTCCATGGGGTCACAAAAAGTCGGACACAACTAAGTGACTAACTTTCACTTTCATATAAAAATCATAGATCTTTTGAAAACATTTGAAAAAATAAGCAGTAAAATGATGACAAAATTAGAACACAGAATAAAAATAGCATTTAAAGATGTATAAGTTTCTTCAAGAATTTAAAATACTTCAAATTACATGTAAAATATAAATAATAAAGACTGAGTGTATCAGTCCATAATGTCCATAATATTCTGAAGAAGCATTAATTATCTAATCTAGTCATAGTCTAACCTTTGAAATGTAGTCAATCCTGCAATCCATAATGGCATTTGTGGATTAAAAAAAATGGGTTTCCCTAGCAGACTTGGACCAAAGCTATTGTTGAAGCCAAGATTGAATACTGATGGTCCTGACTAAAATGGAGAGTTGAGGTCACCTGGGTGGTATCCTGCTGGTTCAATATAGATTTCTAGGAAAAAGCAGAGATTTCTGATGACAAAAGTTGCCATCTGTTTTGTGAGTAGCCTCATTCATTCATTCAAACATCAGTTTTGTGTAAGATATTAATGAAACAGATGGTTAACAGGTTTTCACCAGACACTGCATATAAATTATTAGCCAGATCATTTTTTTAACAGAACAGTATTCTTAATAATAACTAGTAGCTTGGAAAAAATAAGAATATTAAAAATATTCACCCGGCATATTATTTTAGTCAACCTGAACCTGTGTCTATTTGTAATACTCATTTAACTTATTCCACTTTTCTAAGAGTTAAAAGCTACTCAATTTGAAAATTAATCATTCTTTCTTATATTTGCAATATATTTATTTTTTAAAAATACTTCCTATTTTCTTTAGAATGTTGGGTTTTACCTTTAGTTATTGTAAACCCTCCAAAGATTATATAAAAACAGATTTAACACCTTTTATGTTGGACACTTCTAAATTTAGAAGTCTATTACTATCCAGTTAGAAAATTTCTCCAATCTATTCTTCTCGTGTCACTGAACTATCAGGAGATCATATACACCAAGAAATACTGGTCAAGAGGAAAATGAATTTGTTACTGTGCTTTCATTCTAAATGTCCCTGCAAAATAAGAACAAGGTGCTTGCCTGATTTAAAAGTTATTGGCAGGATTTCCCTGGTGGTCCAGTGATTAAGAATCCACCTACCAACGCAGAGGGCATGGTTCTTCAATTTCTGATCTGGGAAGACCCCACATTCTTCTGAGCAACGAAGCCTGTGCCCCACACACTACTGAGCTCACAAGCCGTAGCTACTGAAGCCCACATGCGCTCTAGAGCCCTCGCCCCACAAGGACAGAAGCCGCTGTAATGAGCCGCTCCCACACGGCAGCAAGGGCTCAGCACGCACCCCTCAGCCCCCCAGAAAGGTCACTGGCAAAAATATTCAGTGGAGATAATAGCTTAAAAACAGTGTTTACATTTTTTAACAACACTATAATATTAAGCTATATAAAAACAGAAACTATATTATTAAAATGAATTTGAATGTTTCTAAACTTATTATTAAATGAGTGTATCTTTTCAATACTGTAACTTCCAATTTTTTGAAGATAATCTTACCTGAAGATTTGTGATTGTTTTTGTTTAATTTTTAACTCATCTTGCAACTGACTCAATTCTTTCTGTACCCTCTGAAATTCATCTTGGTAACTTTTTAACTTCATGCTTGCATCTTGAATCCTAAAAATATAAATAAATAACAACTATTATAAATCTAAATATTTCCTCATCAGTACTTTATACAAATTTAGAACCAGTTTTTTCATTGCAGCACCATTTACAATAGCCAGGACATGGAAGCAACCTAAATGTCCATCAGCAGAGGAATGGATGAAGATGTGGTACAATATACATGGAATATTACTCAACCATAAAAAAGAACAAAATAATGCCATTTGCACCAACATGGATGGACCTAGAAATTGTCATTCTGAGTGAAGTCAGACACAGAAAGACAAATACAATATGCTATCGCTTATACATGGAATGTAAAAAAAGGGTATAAATGAGCTTAGTTACAGAACAGAAGCAGAGTCATAGATATAGAAGACAAACATATGGTTACCAGGGAATGAGGAGGGGGAGAAATAAACCAGGAGATTGGGATTGACATATACACAGTACTGTATAAAGAATATTGGGTTGGCCAAAACATTAATTTAGGTTTTTCCATATCATCTTATGGAAAAACCTGAGTGAACGTTTTGGCCATCTCAGTAAATAACTAATAAGAACCTAATACGAATCTGTGCACAGCACAAGGACTTCTACTCAATACTCTTAATGGTTATACTGGAAAATAATATTTAGAAATGAGTGGATATATGTATATGTGCAACTGATTCATTTTGTGTACACATGAAACTAACACAAGATCATAAATCAACTATACTCCAATAAAAATTTTAAAACCTTAAATCCACTTTTAATAAAAATAAATAAAAGGAGAAAACTATGCCTCTTATATAGGCAAAGTGAGTTTATAGAAAAAGTATAGAGAGAAACATGCTAAATAGCCATTATCCCTGGGGAGAGAGTAGAAGTGACAGGCAGGAGAAATGCAACAAATCTCGAAGGGAAGCATAACCTGTACTCTTTATCTTTTGTATTGTTTGAAGTTTTTCAATGAAGACATATTTTTACTTGAAATACTAATTAAAATGTACCTAAACAAATAGTTTAACTTTTATCAAAGTAATACATGTACATAAGTTAAGTGTCAAATATTACTGAGTTAGAAAAAATATTAATCATTTGCTTTTACCCAAATTTTAACTGCCAAAAATAACAACTTTCAACTTTTTTCTTCTTGTATTTACCTCTACATTATTAAATAACATACTTACACTGTTATTTCTTAAATTTCATCTTAGATATTGCCTAGTGAATTACAAATCAGTTAAGATCTGGTTCTGCTACTTAACTGAGACCTGAATATGATGACTTAAATATACAGAAGTATATTATCTTACATAAGATGAACATATTGGTAGCCAGTCCAGTGCTGATATATGATAGCTTGAGTGTATGATTACAGCCCCAGGATCCTTTCATCTCTCTGGTCTACTACAATTGGTGTGTGTTCATTATTCTCATGGTCTATGATAATGACAAAAACACTGACCATTACTTTCCTATTCCAGACCACCAGCAGCAGAAGGCTCCTCTGTCCCTTTCAAGGAGATTTCCTGGAAGTACCTCTGTATACTTCTGCTGAACCTAGACATCTGACTGTACCTAGCTGAAAGTGAATCTGAAAAATGTAATCATTTAACTGGAAAGATTAACCCCCAGATATATCCACAGTTCTATTACAAAAGGAAGAAGGAAGAATGTATGTTGGGATGGGTAGCTTGCAGTCTCTAACACAATCCTAAAAAGAATTAACCCTCCTATACATACCTACACACCTACAGAGACATATACATACACACACACACCACACACACACAGAGCCTTCCTCCCCTCATCCTCCCAATATAGTTAAAATAATCTATCTAGTGTTAATATTATTCTTCACTAGTGTGCTACATGTTATGCCATGATCACATTTTTTTCTCTACATATGTTTATTTTTATATAATCTGGTATTTTAAAACTTTTTTTAAATTATGAAAGTATGATATCATATTTATAGGAGACTTGGAAAATACAGGACAAGCTTATATATAACCCATGTCCCTTACATCTCCTGCATTGGCAGGGGTGGAGCAGGAAAAATTTAAGATGAGCCTAGTACATTTTATGATGCCAGAAAGTAAGGAAGAGTTCAAGGGCAGACAGAGGCATGTTGAAAGGACACAGGTGACATGTGAAAGAGCTCCTAATGACTGAACTGGAATGACTGAGCAACAAAATATATAACCGTAATATTGGACTATAACCCACAAAATAAAAGTAAATAAACCCATAATGACATTAATAAATAATTTAATAGTTAAATAGGGAGAGAAGAAACAGTTGTTCCTTACAGAAAAATTCTGATTAAAAAATACAGAAGGAATGAGAAAAAGAAAAAGCATTAGAAGAGAACAATAATAGCTGTTGTAAGCAAAATCTATGGTAAAAAGTAGGTGAAAGTTTAAGGAGAAATAGAATATTTGAATATTCTCAAATTTTCTACCCCCAAATATTTATTAATTATAAAGGGAAAAATAATTTTTCAGTGGAGGAAGCTGGAAACACCACCTCAGCCAAGTGATCAAGTTCTGACATCATCTGTAAAAAACATATTGAGGTTATATACACTTTGACTTGATACACTGGAAAGGGCACATCATTTCTGTAGTATTCTTGCTAAAAAATTAATAATCTCTATAAAATTATGGGTAAACATCAGACAAACCCAAATTGAGGGGATTCTACAAAACAACTGATCAGTTCTCTTCAAAAACCTCCAGTCACAAAAGACAAAGAAAGACTGAGGAACTGTCACAGATCAAAGAAGATTAAAAAGATATGAGGTCTAAATGCAAACAGTGAACCCAAATTGAATCATGGACTGGAAAAAAAGATGTCAGTGGAAAAACTGATAAAATCAAACAAAATCTGTAGGTTAGTTAATAGTATTATACCAATGCTAACTTCTTAGTTTTTATAATTGTATCACATTTATGGAAGGTGTTAACATTGGAGGGGCTTGGTATATGAGAAAGTGCTGTACTATTTTTGCAACTTTCTATAAGTCTAAAATTATTTCAAAATAAAAAGTTATAAAATCATGTGTATATATTTAATGAATAATTTGTACATGTGAATGTATCTGTGTTACAAACTATGTTGTAAAAAGGTGGATATATGTTAAATTTTAGAAGTTATGCTATTTTTATATAGCAAAAATGAAACACCTTCATGGTCAGCATTAGAGAAACATTAAGTAACCTATGTTCCTATGGAATACTATATTTAAAGAAAAGAATTAAGTAGATCTTTATGTCCTGTCATGGAAAGAATGCCAAGACGTAACAACAAAAAAACAAAAAGCAAGTTGTAATGTATAGATCAACAAGAGTTTCCAAACACTCCTTGTGTGAATGTACATTACACAACTACTTTGACTAAATAGTAGGATCTATGAAGCCTGGCCATAAATGTAATGCCATGACCCAGAATTTCCACACCTGGTACATATCCATTAGAAAAATGTGCTCAAATGTTTACCAAAGACATGCATAAAAATGTTCATGGCAGCATTGATTTTAATAGCCCCAAAGTGTGAATAGTCAAATGCTTATTCACAGCAGAATAGATAAATCCATCATGGTATATTTATACCATGGAAAACTGAACAGCAATAAGAATGAACGAACAGCAGTTACCCATAACAAGATGGGACACGTCTTGCAAACATAATGCTAAGTAAGGAAAATTAGACAAAAGAATACACACCCTATGATTCCATTTACATAAAGTTCAAATATAGGCAAAATTAATCCATGGTGTTATAAGTCAAGGCTAGTTTCCTCTAAGTGGGTGACTGAGTACAAGAGGGCTTCTAGGGGGATGTCAATGTTCAGTTTCATGATCTGGGTGCTGATTACATGAGAAATTCACTTTGTGAAATTTAGCTTTAGCTGTACTTGTATTATTTGTGTATTTTTCTCTTATCTATGCTATGTTTAATAAAAGTTTATAAAAAGAAAATAAAATTAGAATTTAAAAAGCACCTAATCTCATTATATGTATTTATCTGAGGTTGATAAATAGGTTAAAAAGTCCAGAAATATTTGAAAAAAATTTAACCTCATTAGTATATTTTGGGATTAAATGCAATTTGTATAAACATTCCTTAATAAAACATGGGGAATATAGCCAATATTTTATAATAACTGTAAATAGAGTATAACTTTTAAAATTGTGTAAAAAATTAAATTCTTTTAAAAAGCCCATTGCAGCTATTAAGATTTACCCAGAAAAGAATTCTAGGACTTCCCTAGTGGTTCAAGGGATGGGAGGCCCCCTGCCAATGCAGGAGACACAGGTTTGATCACTGGTCCAGGAAGAGTCCATATGCCGCAGAGCAACTCAGCCCACGAGTCAGCTCACAACTACTGAGCCTGTGTGCTGCGACTACTGAAGACTGTGTGCCTAGAGACTGTGCTCCCAACAAGAGAAGCCAGCACCACGAGAAGCCCGCACGCCACAGTGAAGAGCAGCCCCCATCCCACTCACCGCAATGAGAGAAAGAAGAGCAGCCCCCATCCCACTCACCGCAATGAGAGAAAGCCGATACACACAAAGAAAGCAAGCAAGCAACGAACACCCAGCCCAGCCGAAAATAAATAAATCAATTCTTTTTAAAAAGAACTTGAAGACTTTTTTTTTTACATTTTCCTATTTGTAATTAGGAAAAAAAAATACACATTAAAACTTTATAACGTCATATTCCCCAAATGAATATTACTTGTAAATCACATCTCAAGCCCTCTGACAATGCTCCCTGAGAAGTTAGGTCACATTAGTTCACTCTGTTTTGTCTTTGCTAACACTACTTTACTTTTTTCAATCAAACTGATATGGCTAAAAATGACATGCATGAAATGTATTAATGTTCACTTTTATTGTATACATTATATTAAGTTTATGAAATAAATAATTCATAAAATATTGTAATCCAATATGTAGTATGCAAGCACATGGTTTTCTCTAAGAGTCATAATTCTGCATGGAATTTGAACACT